AAGCCCTTCGAGTGTTCTGTGTGCAACAAGAAATTCACGCAAAGAGGTCATCTCCATATACATCTCCGAAGGCACACTGGGGAAAAGCCGTTCGAGTGTCCTGTGTGCAACAACAAATTTACGGAAAGTGGTCATCTCCGCAAACATCTCCAAACGCACACTGGGGAAAAGCCTTTCGAGTGTTCTGTGTGCAACAAGAAATTCACGCAAAGTGGTCATCTCCATATACATCTCCGAAAGCACACTGGGGAGAAACCTTTCGAGTGTTCTGTGTGCAACAAGAAATTCACGAGAAGTTTCAATTTAAGCGCACATTTACAAACTCATATTGGTGGTATTCGTTAATTAAGCGAAATTATAATAACATATGTGCATCTGACCTACTAGGTGGTATAGTTTTGAAATTATTTACAATAAGTATCGTTAAATTTCTTTTGTTTTGTTCTGCTTTTGTTAATCCTTTGTGTTGTAAAACAATCAAAATATACCTGTAAATTTATGAGAAAAGTTTGCATTTTACTTTATTGAATAGTGTATTACTTGCCAGGCCTGCGGCCCAAAGCCTCGCACATGAAGCTATATAATTATATATAATATATATGTATATATATAATGCGTTCGCTTAACATTGTCTTATTCTTTAGCATTTTCATGAAATTATAGTTCTGATTTGTTAGCAAAAAGCTAAGAAGTCTCTTTTTTTTCTTCATGTAATATATGTTTTTAGATAGATTTTTACGAACACTAATTTGTTGCGGTTATCTTGTACAAGTTGCAGGGCGGGGCCGGAAAATTTGATAAAATTTTCCTAGAGTAGAGCTTTGTTACGCTCAGCTTTGATGAGGCGTAATGTGATATGTATGTGATATGGTCTGTACCATAACGCATAAACGCACCCCGAAATCTTCAAAATAAGAGTACGCTGCCCCCCCCCCCCTCCACCACCCCATGACTCCGCGCCGCGCGCTCCCCTCGCTCCCCTCCAATTCAATAATTCATGTTTCTCATGACACAGTGAGCAGCGGGGCGCGCGGCACTGGACAAGGCACTAGGCTGCTGGAAGTGGTGCAACAATAGACAAAGGCTGTGTGTGTGTCTGTCTGTCGTGTCACATGGCCAGTGTGGGAAGCTGCCAGCGGCCACCGCACATAAAGTAACGCACGTTCTTTCAAAACAAATTTTTATACACACATTTTTGTTAGTCAAAACACCTTGCCAGTTAGTTGGTAATTAAGAAAAAAGGCTTCACATTGGAGTTGCCGGAATCGATTGGAGCAATTGGGAGACGCCTATGAAAGGAGAAGCAGGATCTTGCGCGGGCAGACTGCTTCATCCAAAGTAGAAAACGCTGTCCGACCACTTTCGCTAATGTGAGATTGTCTCACTCTTAATTTGTCAGTGTATTGGGACGGGACACCTTGAACAAAAAGGGGGGGGGGGGGTGCAGCCGCGATTTAGGCGCAAAAATGTGTATCGCGCATTGTGCTTGGTTGTGGAGATAGACACACAACTTTACGGAATCTCGAGTGGGCAGCGTTTTAATAGCACATAGAGTCACAATGAGAAGCAAATATTTTTTTTTCTTTTCGCAATAAGCTGATTTAAAATGTCTTATCTTCTAATTCACAGCGAGTGAGGCATGTGAAGGAGCGTTGCACGCTCAGTCCCCCTCCACCCCCTCCTTGTTGCAATGTTTGCTAGCGCTTATCAGCCTCGCTCAGACACCCTGCAATTGCTACTACCAGTCACTGCCAACTTTATGGCCACCTTACGTGCACCAAAAGTTTGGCATTAGAGTCCAGGAATTGTGTGTCGTAGGACATCGATACACAAGGGCACTAAATGTTAATCACCTTTTTGTGCATGCATATAAGTACAAATATGTAGGCCTACAGAAGAATATTTATGTGAAAAACTGCACAGACCGTTGTGTGTCACTTTAAACTGCACGTACTTATATAATACGACACCGAAAGTTAATCAGTTTCTAGTGGGTCCTGTTTGCACTGCACGCTGTGCCAATTTTCATAATATTTAATACATTATGTACGTCTTAGAAATGTTTTGAAATAGCCAGAATAAAAACGGCACTATTTTCAAATCCTCAATGACTGATTAAGTCCGTCGTGTAACTGATGACAGTCATCACCTCCCGGTGACGATAATGAGTCGGGTCCCCACTCGAGCCGTCAGGCCCGTCGGGCGGCGCCGAATTAAATTGATCGCGCCAAAAGTGAATAGCCCGATCTCTGGCGGGACGGGGTCGCGGCCCGGTGCCTCAGCACCCCTCCCCCCCTCTCTCCCCTTCTACAAAATAAGCACCTTGCCATTTATTGGCAACTAGCGCCACCTACCCCTAGTAGTGGCGTAGCTATTGTGGGAGAGAGACAGAGGGGGGGGGGGG